CAACTCCTTCTACGACAGAACATGCATTTTGGCTCTGTGGGAGTGCATAATAATTTTATCCAGGAAGAAATTCAATTACAATTTTTGATGATACTGTAAGAAGTAATAATTTTATAGAGTTTAAGTATCCATATCAGCACTCTCCAGGCAGTTTACTTTGCATTGTGCCTGACCGTATCATATTAAATATGTCATCAGGGCTCAGTGATTAGTAACCCCTCTGCTAAAGTTTTACTGTCTTTTTTTGTTTTTCCTATTTATAATTTCTTAATTTATTAACAATGAAAAATGAAAAATGTAATTAACGAATGTGAAAAGATTTTTTTTTTTTTTGCTGTCATAACTGGTGCTGGCAGAAACATGTATTTTAGTGTGGAGCAAATAAAATAAAAGCCTAGTCATCGAGAAGTATTGGAAGGTTTAGAGCAAGCTTCCTCAACCTCGGCCCTCCAGATGTTTTTGGCCTACAACTCCCATGATCCCTAGCAAGCAGGACCAGTGGACAGGGATGCTGGGAATTATAGTCTCAAAACATCTGGAGGGCCGAGGTTGAGGAAGCCTGGTTTAGACTTTTTGTGGATTGGAGTTACCCGTATTTTTCGCTCTATAAGACGCACCAGACCACAAGACACACCTAGTTTTTGGAGGAGGAAAACAAGAAAAAAATATATTCTGAATCTCAGAAGCCAGAACAGCAAGAGGGATCACTGTGCAGTGAAAGCAGCAATCCCTCTTGCTGTTCTGGCTTCTGTGATAGCTGCACAGCCTGCATTCACTCCATAAGACGCACACACATTTCCCCTTACTTTTTAGGAGGGGAAAAGTGAGTCTTATAGAGCAAAAAATACGGTATTTATTGTAAATCTGAAGTTTGAAATCTGGTTTATCATGCTTAACTTCCCTAAACTTGATTTGTGATCATGCCTGTGAGCATGTCCTTCACATGTATTATGGCCTGAACTACCATAGTATAGGACTATGAGACTGCGGGCAGGAAGCTGAAGGGTTTTGGGGCACAAGTGGGTTTCTTCATCACTCCTTCCTGCTGAAGGTTGTGGATCAGGAAGAGAGAGGAGAATACTGGAAGTATATCACTGGCCGCACAGGTGTTGTTGTCATGAAAGGTTTGGCTTCATAGAATCATAGAGTTGTAGAGTTGAAAGGGACCACAGGGGTCATTTAGTCCACCCCCTGAAATGCAGACACCCTTTTGCTCAATGTGGGGCTTGAACCCACGACCTTGAGATTAAGTGTCTCATGCCTTACTAACAAGGTCTCCACTTCCTTGAGGAAGGACTTCTGGTAAGAGATGGTGTGGCAGACAGCAGAGCCAGACCGGTCTCCGGTGATGCAGTCAGAAATTCCACCAGAGTGCTGGAGCCTCTCTCTGATTAAGCTACCAAGACAGCTAGCCAGAGCAGGGGGCAGGGGAGAGAATAAAATGAGGAGTTTCTGAGCGAGTTTCTTAAATTAGAGATAGAGAAGGAAAGAGCTGGAGTTTGACAGGGACAGAGATAGGACTTGATTTGAAATGTGAGGTAGGGATTCGGATAGGATTTGACTGAGGGAGAAATGGTTCTGATTTGAGATGAACATCCACACTGAGGAGACTATCTATAGCACTATATGTAAAGGAAATTTATACTTGTGAAGAGGTCCATGGCCTGGGGCATGGAAGGCTGATTCAGAGTACATGAGTAAAAATTGTAGGGGAGGGAAACAACAGTGACCTTACTGTGTGTTTCTGCTATAGACTTCCAAGCCAGACTGAATATTTGGGTGATGCCTTCCTAGAGGAGATTATGAAACATTAAAAAAGAGGGATTTGGTATTGACCGAGGCTCTGAGATTACATCCACAAGTTTCTTCAGTAATCTATACAGCATTTATTCATTAATGGTGTATTTGGTTGCCTTTTGATATGATGAAAATTCACATACTTACCTGCTTATGAAATAACTGAGGCTAAAATATTTTTATATGACTACCGTGGTATAATCAACTGGACTGTGATTATTGATTGCAGTAATTTTCCTTGATAATATATTTGTGTATGTGCGTAATGAACAGTTCAAATGAATGCTGATACCATAAGTGAAAATTATTGTCATCATGCAGAATGTAAAACCTCCTTCAACAAATGGCTTTTTAATAATATAACTATGATAGAACTCTGTTGGAAATTGTTTATATTTTATCTGTATTTTATCTTCCCATTTAAAACTAGTACTCTGAAGAAACCCTACAGACTGAAATATATGTTTTACATCATTGGTTTATGTAGCCCCAAATGGTCCGTCCTGTCTAGTGACAGATCTCCAAAGCCTTAGGCAGAAGTCTTTTCTAGTTCTGTTGCCTGATACTGGTTTTTAACTGGGGAAAATTATTTCTGCAATTCACGTGCGTTTCTTTGGCTGTTTTCATGAAGCTGTAAGCCAGAGCTTTCCAAACTGTGTGTCGTGACTCATTAGTGTGTCAGCTGCAGTGTGTAGGTGTGTTGCGGGAATGTTCCCCACACTCCTCCCAGGGCTTGAAAGGAGTTAGCTTAATCTTTAGTTTGCTAGTAAAACTAAATTACTGTGTCGCGAAATTATGTGTGTCACCGATATTAAAAGTTTGGAAAGCTCTGCTGTAAGCCATAAACCATAGCTTACCACGCACAAGCAAATCACTCACTTTTCATTCACGGCAAGAGGAAGAGAAGGAAGAGAAGGAGCCGCCACTGGAGCTGAGCCGCACTCAGCTCCGTGCTTTGCCTCCATGTTTTTGGGGCATGGGGGAGGGCAAAAGGACTCAGCCCCCAGGAGCTGGAGCCCTTGGTCCCAGGTAAGCCCCTGGGCTTAATGATTTCATCCATGATAAATTAGTCTCTGCCTGACACTGTGTTGCAACATCTAACATCCCGTTATACTATTATCTGTGGAAAGTGAAATTATGAAGAATTCAATGTATTCCGTACTTGAATTAACAATAATTTCCAGAGGTATTCTATAGGGCACATGAGTTGGGAGGCAGGAGAAAAGACTTAAAGCCCCATCCACTCACTTTCCTTCTCCCTCCCGCCCCCATCCACTCTTCTTTTCTGTTGTGTCATTCAGACTGCAAAACTGAAAACAGGTATTATTTTATTGTTACTCTGTGTAAAAAATAAACTGGGAGCCTTTTTTGACTGAAGAGTGGGAAATAATGCTTCAATTAAATAAATAATCAAGCCACTTTCATTAGGAAAAAAGTTGAGGTGCAGAAGCCGATGCAGTATTTAATAATTCCCCCAAAATTGCTGTGCACAAAATGTGATGCTAAGAAGGTACACAAGGAAATATGGTGGCAATGCAGGAAAAGAAACAGATTAGGATTAGAATATTTGGTTGTGGTGCAACAAGGAAGTAAATTATTCCATGACTATCACCTTTAAGTGGAAATATGCTCATGTAAGCAACTTGTGCAGTACTTTTTTGCAAAGTAATTGAAAACAGAATTACTGAAAGTTCTGCATATATACTACAAAACACTGAACCAGGTTGACTCTAGGGATATCATTAGCTGGTGTAGTTTTATTTTTGTTTTTTAAATGTTAAATATGTATTGAAAATAGTTTTTTTTTAAAAAAACACAAATAAGGATGTGTTGCAAAGAGAAGACCAGTGTAAGCTATTTTGAACCTTCCAAGAGACCTACATTCAACCATGGTTTGGCAATCTGTAATTGCCAACTGTCTGTTAAATCCAGTCTGCAGCAAGAAGAGTACAGCACTATTTTTTGAAAATGGCTCTGTGCATTCAGATGAACCTGGGAGCAGAACTTCCCTGTATTGCCATTTGCATGCATGCCTATTGTTCCTCATCTAGCAAGAAAGCTATATGTAGAAGCCTCTTTTCATGTGTTGGATTGAAATATCTTACAAGCTTCTTGTATCCCATTTTTTAAAATGTAGTGATCAAAGACAAATGTCAGCTTCAAGATTTCAGTGTTCAATGATGTAAGCTGGGACAGGAGGAGATGGCCAGGGTAATGGGGTGTGTGATATCACAGAAGAAAAAATGTGTCCTTTCACAAAATCAGAGGTTTTGAGGAAGTGGGGGCTTCATGCGGTGCTGGCTGGGAGAGACTACACTGAGAAACAGGGGAACATGACTGGCTGCTGCTTGGTAACCAAGCTTGCTGAAGTTATGAGATGAGCAACAAGAAACACTCTTGGAATGTAATGTTCTGAACTCAAAACCCAGGTTGTAAATATGTGTAAAATAAATCATATTTCTTAAAGACACTAGTCTCCAGTAATGTCTTATTCCAAAGGAACAAAAACCCTGGTTAAGTGCCAAGACCCCTGGCATTTTGCTATTGCTTGGCAGAATTAGGGTGGCGTGTAACAATATATTTGTTTTTTCTGAATTATTTTATTTGCTTTGTACTAATTTAACAATCTTAATTAACCAGCATGAAATACGTTTTGTGTTTTGTCACCAATATTCCCTCTTTCCCTGCCATAATTATAAGTCCCTACCCCTGAATTATTTCCCCAAATATCCCTCCAAATTCAGGCAAAAACAAAAGACTAGCCCTCATATTATTCCTAAGTAAGTGTGCAAAGGATTGTAGCCTTAATATCATAACATATAGCTGTTAAAATTATGTTCTTACCCAAGTCAAATACTGTATATTGAATTGGGCTTAGGTTCGTATATAATACATTCATGTTTCCAGTCCATCCAGCTCTTAATCTGGAGTTAAGATATTAGGCAGGACAAGTTTGTTTGTTTGCTAAAATGTATACACCACTTGATTGTAAAAAAAAAAACCCTCTCAAAATGGTTAGACTTGATGGATTGGTAACATAATTTGCTTACATAATGTAGGCCTTAGAAAATGATGTATATTATCAACAACAGGTTGACTTCAGCCATTCTGCTTTCATTTAACCAACTAGACAGAACACCTTTGTCTAAAACAGCCTCAGTAAAAAATGACCATGTTTCCCCCCACTTTCTTTCTCTTTTCAGATCGCATTTTCACAACACAATACCATCATGGACCTGGTACAGTTTTTTGTTACCTTCTTCAGGTAAATTTTCCACTCTCAACAATTCTACAATTGATATATGCAAAGTTATGTGATGTTCAAACTTGGATATTTTACCCCTTTTGTATAATTCTTAAAAACATCATAGACCACACAGTCTGCATTATGCAGGTACTGAAGTACCACAGCTCCCCCACCCCCTTTTGGTGATTTGACTTGTGAATAGTCACACTCACATTCTGACAGCTGTCTTCCCATATTTAAGGTTAAGTATTTTTTCTAACATGTGAAACTGGAATCATAACAAGTATGAATTACATGGCTCGCTTCTTGATTATCTTTGCTTGTGGTGCTCTTATTTGGGTTTGATTGCAAGCTTTTTTTTCCTGAATGGTGAGCCTCCTTTCAGGAAAGGAACTTAAACTAGGGGTGAACCAAATGGCCACTTCCAATCTCCCACCCTATTTGCAGATAGTAAATTTTGTCTGTTTCCAGTTTCATTTTGGGGAGCCAAACCACTTGAGGGAGGGAGCTTACAGTTGTGGCTGAGAGCTGTTTGGTTTGTCTTTCTCCTCTTCTCTTAATAGCTATTAAAGCCCTGACTTTGCTGGCAGCTTTTGCAGCAGAGCAGCAAGAGGACTCGAACTGCTGCTACTCCCATTCTTCCTCTTCCGCCTCTGCAATTGTAACCTCCTTCCACTGCCCCAAATCATTTCTCCCTTTTTTCTGTTTTGATGAACCAATGAGTAATGATAAACCATTACTATGATTGGTGCTAACATATTTTAACCATGATGAAGTCATGTGGGGGGAATTAGTATGAGAGAGCAGGTAAGCACCTAGTGCAGCAGCTTACTCTAGACCTCTTAACCATAGATTGTGATCTGCACCAGTCCAATGAGCCCTTTTAATCTTCTTTGGTTCTGTTTTGTTTTACACACACACACACACACACACACACACACACACACCCTACATCCAATATATGTGTGAGTAAATCTTATTTCACAGTTCATTTTGGGAACAAAGGGATTGCAGATAATGGATAATAATCAACTAAGACACACTTAAATTACTTGTCTATTGATTTAAATGTGTCCATTCTGAGTATGAGCAATATTGGATGTCACCATTTAGCTTCAAAGACTGTATGACAAGTATAAACCCTTGGCTATTAAGTTTTCACTAATAACTTTTTATTTTGAATAACATGTATTTTCAAATAGAGTGAAAATACTACAATAACTCCAAAATGCATTTCAACTTGGTTTAAATGTTCATTTATGTTTTAGGTTTTACATTAGGAACAATTACACATGTCACTTGTCCAGAGTAAGTGGAATTTATAGCCTCAGTTGTGCAAATGTCCTTGACATTTTATTCCACACGGAAAGCCCTTTCATTAAACACTCCATCCCCCTTTGACTCACTGCTCTCCTATCCCAATCAATGAAATGGTGGAGCAAAAAAAGGGGTTCTGTAATTCTTTTTAGCTTGATTCTTGGCAATGGCTTAACAGATTTACATTCTACCATTTGTGAGTCTCTGGGACAGAAATTTATTATTAATGCATCTGTGAGTCTGATGAAAATAAGTGTTTTGACAGTTAATAAGTTGGCTTAATGTAACTATTAAAGCTGTTTCCTTAAAACAAAACAGAAACACTTGTATATATTAGCTTTCTCATACATTTTTTTTGAGAGTGGGGGCTTGATACTCAGAGCCTGAAATCCTGTTGTTTGCCATCCATTTTCTCATAGCAGTCTTACTTGGGAATGAGCAATTAACATTTCTTTGCTTGGAATGCCAAGATAGCTTGCCTCCCTCAGGTTTTCCCTGGAGCTCCTTTAGAGGTGCATTTTCTCTGCAGCTGTGTAGGAATGGTTCCCTACCAGCACCTTTTATATACTGTATTCTTTTATGACTTGCAACAGGGATCTTATATTGGCTTGTGTGTATTTTCTTTGTTCTTCCTTACAGCTTTGAGGAAATAATGTTTAAATAAGTTATAGAATTTGAAGCTGCTTCTTCCTTTTGCTTAGGACAGGCCCAAGGCTGCCCATTGTGAATTACGAGATTGTGCCCACCCCACTTTATTCCATGTACAGAATCAAACTAGACTAGCAGTTGAATGTTACTTCAACTCTGTTAATACACTGCTTAGGGGACATGGGGCAGGCCATGGTGCGCACACACAGCTCTGTTTTTCAACACTTCTCCTGCTCCTCACATCCCAGCAACTATTGCCTGAGGCAGCCACCTCACTCTGCCTAATGGTTGGGCCAGCCCTGTACAGATTCTTCACTGTAGTTATTTGTTGATTTTAATGTAGTGCACCTATCTCCCATACTGATCTTCTTGGACCTGGTTGGCATTAGCACTGTCTAGGGATCCAATACAGGAACATTACTTTCTTCATAGAAATGCTTTGAATTACATTGGTCCAAGTGCTTGCTTGCCTTGTGTGCTGCCTGTAGCCTTATATTGGCTTCACTACTGTTCCCTTTCCCCATGGAGGTGGAAACATTTAGGGGTCCTGGTCTGAGCCGGATGCTTTAAAATACTGGCTGAATTTGGCACATGGCTGAATTTACCACATTTTTCTTTCCTGTGTTATTACTTTTGTCATTTTATTTTATTTCATGGAGTGTGCATTTTCTAATCAGCTAAATAATTAATTGTAGATTTCTAATTAATTGTACATGGATTACAAAATTAATTGTAGAATGATAAATACTTAATCCTAGATTGCCTACCTGATTAACCTAGGTTTGCTAATATATTAACTCCCCCTGCCGTGCAACAATCAGTTGACCCCAGCCTTTATTTCTTATCTCCACAATCAGATGCAGCATTTAAATGACCTTTCCTTGCCTCCATTAATATCAGTGGTTAGCACCTAAGAAACTGCAACCACAGGCTATAGTCCAGATCAGAGTAGAGGCAGTGGCAAGATATTTTAATGGCTCCTTTCCCCCTGCCAATTCTCCAACTGCCATATTAGGTTCCCGTGAATCATGCCACTCCAGACTCCCATTAGTAGACACAGGGGACAACATCTGGTAGCCATTTGAGTGTGGCAGCCTAAAACATACAACACCTGGTTGTCATTTTGAGTGTATTGTTTACTTCTAGTGGCCATTTCTAAAAGAGAGGATTAATTAAATAAATTGAATTTTATTCAAAAAAATTAAAATGAAACAAAATAAATAAATTAGAATAAATAAAATAATATTGGTGCAGAACCCATAATCAGAACATTTAATCACAGCAGAGAGTTCAGCCCTTGACACAAACTTTGCCATGGTGATTGCAGCTGCCCAGAGAACTACTGTTAACCCTTAAGGAAGCTTTGCAGGTGGACACCTCCAAGGCATAGCTGTCAACTTTTTCCTTTTCTTGCGAGGAATCCTATTTGGAATAAGGGGATTTCCCTTTAAAAAAGGGAAAAGTTGACAGATATGCTTCAAGGAGATTCAAGCTTTGATTTCATCTGTAGTTCCAGCCCTGCAGTCTGCACCTCCTCAACAGCCATAGCTGCAATAGAACCATCCATCTGCTGAAGCGCAAATGGTTTCTAGGGCATAGACCAGAAGGTGCATCAACCTAACAATGGTACAAATCTTATAGGAGACAGACAATACCTCTTCTGGGGCAACAGACCACACCCAGACTATGAGTGATAACGAGGATGAATGGAGCGAAGAGTCTGATGCAGAGGATTGCTCATTGCACTGGCCATTCCAACAGCAGCACGACATGACATTGCTGTGCAAGGTCATGTCAGTGCTAGAATAAATCACCCAGCAGACATTTCTGTGCTATTTACCTCAAGGTGTGCTTTGGTGGTGTGAGAAGTACACATGAAGTGAGAATCCATATCAGCCCACCCCATCTTTAGGAAAAGGTTCAAGGCCAAATGGCTATAAAATTGCAAAGCTGTGACTTGCACAAACAATTACTACATCCTGAACCAAGCGATAATGGACAAGCTAAAGTTCCCAGTTATAGATGGCCCCATTGTGGCTCTTCTGCCTAAGACAACGAATCTCAAAGACTTGGATGTGCAACAGAGTGTAAGCTGGGTGTGGAGTTGAAAAGGTTACATTAAACAACAGGCTTGTTCCTTAAAACATCATGTCCTGCATCAACCTTTGCCCTCTCAACTCTCCTATGGCTAGATGACTTCTAGACGACCCTCAGCAGGATCCTGACAGACTACTAAAATGTAACTCAAGACATGCTTTAAATGTATGTTGGAGATCATGAGCATGACTTTTGGGCAAAGCCACACCCCAGCACCTCTGAGTCAGAAATGAAGCATATGACATAAATTATTGAATTCAAATGCTGTTTTTGAAGAAACAAACACAAGTATCACCAGCACCAACCAAATAAACAAATATATTAAAGCTTTTAATATGTTGAGGAACAGTTACTCATGGTTGCATGCAGTTTGTTTTTTAACAGTTCAGACTTTCAGTAACGAAAGTATTATTTCTGTAAAACTAAAAGAATGATTTGACAGCAGGCCATCAGAGCATATTTCCGTACTGTGGCTTAGTCCTGGAAATATGAAATAATAACCTTTTACCATGTGTAGTGTAGCTTTCAGCACTGACAAGTTACAACCAGTTTCCATATCCTGGATTAAGAATAACATCTGGCACAAATCCTTTGAATAATGATCCATATGATTGTCCACTTTAAAGCGCCAGACATGGCAGCAAGGAGCAATATCTCTCTCTCTCTCTCTCTCTCTCTCTCTCTCACACACACACACACACACACACACACACACACGGGGGAGAGAGAGAGAGAGAGAGAGAGAGAGATGGTGCTAAGAGAGAAGGTTACTTCAGACATGCACAGAGAAAGTGGACATGCTGCAGACAGGAAAAAAAGGAGAAGTTACATAGAAAGGAGAAGAGTAAGATAGTTGACAAAGGGCCATAGGACCATGAAGACCTGCTGAGTTTCTGCCTGTGGCCATTACTGCCCAACCTATTATGATTTTCCTCCTTAGGTAGTAGCAGGTTAGG